AGTAAAGTTTACTCGAAGGTTTTGACACGTAGAATGCAAGAGAAATCGGAAAGATTTCTATGGGAGGCACAATGCGGATTTAGACCTGGAAGAGGATGCACGGATCAAATGTTTTCTCTCCGTATGATCACGGAAAAGCTTCTGGCTGTTAACCAGAAGATTTTCTGTGCTTTTGTGGATCTTGAGAAAGCATTTGATAAGGTTGTAAGGAAGAAAATGTGGGAACTGTTGCCGGGGTATGGTGTGGATGGCCGATTGCTAAGGGCTGTGCAGTCTCTTTACTGTGACTGTAAAGCCTGTGTGCGGGTAGGGCATGACCTGTCACCCATGTTTAGCGTCCAAACGGGCGTAAAACAGGGTTGTGTCATGTCTTCCTGGCTGTTCATACTGTATCTCGACAGCTGTTTACAAAAGCTGAAAGATAGCTGTTTGGGTGTGAAATTGGGTGACATAAAAGTAAATTGTCTGCTGTATGCTGATGATGCAGTGCTTATTGCACCATCAGAGGCAGAACTGCAGGCATTAGTCACGTGTATGAAAGAGGAATGTGAAATTAAAGGTCTCCGTTTGAATGCTAATAAAACTAAGGTTCTGGTATTTGAAAGGGACGAAGAGAGAACGAAGTGTGAAATATGGGTAAATCAGGAATGTCTAGAACAGGTAAATGAAATTGTATACTTGGGGAGTGCTTTTAGCCGGGATGGAAGATGTGATTTAGATGTGGACAGGCGTGTCGCTGCCGGGAACAAAGTCAATGGTGCCCTGACTGCGTTAGTCAAAAGGCAAGGCGTAGCGAAGAGTGCACGCCTTGCAATACATAACGCAGTGTTGGTACCGACTTTGTTATATGGCAGCGAAACCTGGGTATGCCAGAAGAAGCATAAAAGTAAGTTGAATGCAGTGGAGATGCGATCTCTTCGTAAAATGTGCGGCGTTACTATGGCCGACCGAAAGCGAAACGAAGAGATTCGCAATATGGCAGGTTTGAAAGATGACCTTATCACAAAAATTGATAAAGGCGTGCTTCGGTGGTTTGGGCACGTTGAGCGAATGAGTGAAGACCGAATGGTGAAGAAAATATATAGCGCGAAAGTTAATATTAAAAGGTGTCGAGGTAGACCGAGACTAACTTTCGAAGACCATGTGAGCAAATTGCTCGAAGAGGGTAGGGTCAAGAGTACTCGGATACCTAGACGTGCATGTATGAAGAAGATAATGAATCTGAAAGAAGCGAAAGAGATATGTAAGGATCGTGACACTTGGCGATCTGTTCTCTCTGGCTACCCCGTCAGGGATTGTGCGTGAAGATAAGTACGTTCTAGGTAGAGTGTACAAGGTTTACCCGAATAACACAGAGTGTTACCATCTTCGTTTACTTCTGCACGAGGTTAGGGATCCATCATCCTTCGATGACTTGAAGACTGTCGACGGTGTTCTCCAACCAACTTTTCAATTAGCTTGCATGAAACTTGGCTTGTTAGAGGACGACCAACATTGGTATTCTGCCCTAAAGGAAGCAGCCTTATGCGAGTCGCCATTTAAAATGCGTGAACTTTTTTATTAATACTGGCATTCTGTCAGATTACAGAAGCACTAAGTCATTGGGTAAAATACAGGGATAGCCTATCAGAAGACTACAAAGGACAAGTGGAAAGGCTTCCCGGCATTATAGATGAACATCAAGCAGCCGTGTAGCGGCGGTTAAGAATATCCACTACCCCATATCTTCCCGTGGGTGTCGTAAAAGGCGACAAAGGGAAACAGGCAGAAGATGGGCAGCAGCATCTTCCTGGTAACTTTAAAAATACAATAAAAAACTGCGGTTGCCAACCCGCTCGCCAAGCGTGGCAACTATAGCAATATACCCCCCATGATGAAAGTTACGAAGAGACGGCCCCCAGTCCCCGGCGGCCCCGTTATTCCTGGCTACGGTGGCGACCATGGTAACGGCGGGGCAGGGGGTGCTAAGAATCTCCGGTGGAGGTTCGGTTGCCACCTACAACAACTCGACCTGGCAACATACAACGCACGCACCCTGAGGATTGACGAGAAGATCGTGGAGTTGGAAGAAGAGATAGGCAAGTTACGCTGGCATATTATAGGATTATCCGAAGTCCGAAGAGAGGGGGAGGACACGGTAATCCTCGAATCCGGCAACTTGCTCCATTACCGGGAGGGCGACCATCTGTCCCAAGGAGGTGTCGGATTTATCGTCCACAAGTCTCTCGTTAACAACGATGTAAAGATTGAGAGTGTGTCGACGAGGGTTGCGTACCTTATACTCAGAATCACCAAACGGTATTCGCTGAAGGTCATAGAGGTTTACGCACCCACCTCGGCACACCCGATCAGGAGGTGGAGGAAATGTATGAGGATATCTCTAGAGCCATGCATTTCTCCAAAACCCAATATACGGTGTTAATGGGAGACTTCAATGCAAAACTAGGCACAAGAGAGAACGGTGAGCTGAAAGTAGGGAAATTTGGAATAGGGCAACGGAACCCAAGGGGCCAGCAGCTGGCCGACTTCATGGAGAAAGAGGGACTCTTTATGATGAACTCTTTCTTCCAGAAGTGGCCCCACAGGAAGTAGACCTGGTCGAGCCCCGACGGTTCGACAAAAAATGAGATTGACTTCATTATGACGACAAGACGACAACTGTTCAGTGATGTCTCAGTGATCGCGAGGGTGAAAACCGACAGCGATCACCGAATGGTTAGAGGCACACTGAACCTAAACGTTAAGTTGGAGAGGTCTCGTCTAATGAAGTCAACGCTCCGTCCCCCTCGTGCTCTAATCCAAAGTCCCGAAACCTTTCAGCTCCAGTTGCAAAACCGTTTTCAGTGCCTAGAAGACTGCAATGAAGTGGACGATTTGAATGACAAGCTCGTGGAAACTGTCCATGCGGTCGGAGCTAAGTTCTGCAAGACCCGCCGCAGAAGAATACAAAAACTCTCCGATCACACTCTTAATCTCATGGCTGAGATTTTGAGTGAGATTGAGAGGTTCTATGGGCAGCTGTACACGTCATCGTTGGAGCCACACGCAAGTGTGAGTAACGATCCAAGATCCGAGTCTTATCCGACATTATTCCGATGATGTCCCGGACGTCAGTCTGAGCGAATTTAGAATGGCTCTCCAGCACCTTAAAAACGGCAAGGCCCCAGGCGAGGATGGCATTACAGCGGAGCTTCTAAAAGCGGGTGGAAAACCGGTACTTGAAGTCCTTCAGAAGCTCTTTAATTCCGTCCTCATTGGTGGCATTACACCGGAGGCGTGGAGCAGAAGTGCGGTGGTCTTGTTCTTCAAGAAAGGCGACAACGCTCTCTTGAAGAACTACAGACCGATTTCCCTTCTGAACCGCGTCTACGTGCTGTTTTCGAGAGTCATTATGAATCGTCTCGCGCGGAGAATTGACGACTTCCAGCCTCCCGAACAAGCCGGTTTCTGAAAAGGCTTTAGCACCATAGACCACATACATACCCTTCGGCAAATTGTACAGAAGTCCGAGGAGTACAATTTGCCACTATGTCTGGCGTATGTGGACTATGAGAAAGCCTTTGATTCCGTCGAAATTTGGGCGGTGCTGCAGTCCCTTCAGCGATGCCAAGCCCTTTACCGCTGCATTCGAAGATTTTTTCAAGCTTCTGTACTGGAAAGGATACGGTATCAACATCAATGGCGAGTACATCACTCACCTTCGATTTGCCGACGATATAGTCCTTATGGCAGAATCGCTGGAGGACTTAAGCACTATGCTCCATGACCTCAATAGTGTTTCCCAACGGATAGGTCTTAAGATGAACATGGACAAAACAAAGATCATGTTTAATGTCCATGTCACACCTATGCCGGTAGTTGTTGGGAACACTAAGCTCGAAGTTGTTGACGAGTATGTTTACCTGGGACAAATAGTCCGACTAGGTAAGTCCAACTTCGACCGAGAGGTCAATCGACGGATTCAACTCGGTTGGGCAGCGTTCGGGAAATTACGGCACATCTTCTCGTCAGGTATACCTCAAAACTTGAAAACGAGACTGTACACCCAGTGCGTGTTGCCAGTGATGACATACGGAACTGAGACGTGGTCCTTCACTGCTGGCCGGATGAGGAAGCTCAAGGTCGCTCAGCGAGCTATGTGACCGACATAGCCCAACGAATTAGTAAGCTGAAGTGGCAATGGGCCGGCCATATAGCTCGAAGAACCGACAACCGATGGGGAAGAAAGGTTCTCGAGTGGCAGCCTCGTACCGGCAGGCGAAGTGTAGGGCGTCCCCCCACTAGATGGAGTGACGACCTGGTAAGATATGCAGGAAGTCGATGGATGCAGGTGGCTCAGGACCGTGCTTTGTGGTATTCTTTGGGGGAGGCCTATGTTCAGCAATGGACTTGTGAAGGGTTGTAATGATGATGATAATGATGATCAAGCAGATGAAATCTACAATAAATGTCCGGTCACAATAGGAGAAGCTGTATTAGCAGTAGGAGGACAAAACCTACAGCAGTACATGTTGCTTTAGCCTCAAAGGTCTGAAGTCTTACACGATAACCGGGGCTACCTGAAGGAAAGAAGTTAGAATTTCAATTCCTTAACAGAACTGGTGTCAAGTAGTGAAGGCTCTCTAACCAATGAACAAGGACATATCTATTATAAAATACTTTTCAGTATCGACGCAGATGTAGGTGATATCTTTTTTTTTGGATGCTTCTAGTGGAACAGGCAAGACTTTTCTATTAAATTTTACTGTGTATTAGTTACTGTGAGAAGCAATCGTGATATCGCCTTAGAGGTTGCATCGTCCGGAATTGCTGGCACTCTGCTGGAAGGAGGTAAAACATTAAAACTCCGCGCCTAAACTTCCTCTCGATTTAATAAAAAACGAAACCCCCCTCTGCAATATTTGGATACAATGTTATATGGCAGAAGTACTCTGGCTTATAAAGGAGGTTTCGAAGCCCTAAATAAATCTTTACAAGATATCAGGAATAATAATTGTCAAATGGGAGGAGTTACTGTATTGTTGGCAGGCGATTTCCAGCAGACTTTACCAGTAGTGCCCAGGGGAACGCGAGCAGACGAAGTTAAAGCATACGTAAAGCTGTCTCATTTGTGGCCTTCAGTGACAAAATTGAGCCTTACCACAAATATGAGAGTCCATCTTAGGGGAGATGTTACTGCCGGACAGTTCTCAGATCTGTGGCTCAAAATAAGAAATGATGATTTCCCGGAACTGGATTATAATATAATTCTCCCTACAGAGTTAGGTACAATTGTTTCCACTGTAGAAGAGCTGATAAATATAATTTACCCAAACATTAATAATAATCACGATAAACTTGCAGAATGGTTATGTGAGCGTGCCATCCTAACACCAAAAACGAACAAGTATATGAAATACTTTTGAGATCATTCGAAGGGGTCGAATATCAATACTCGTATAAATCCGTCGACTCATTGATTAACACCGATGATGCCATTCATTATCCGGTCGAGTTCCTGAATACACTGAAGCCTCCCGGTCTCCCAACTTACATAATAAAATTGAGAGTTGGCGCGTCAATTATGTTGCTGCGCAATATAAATCCACTAGAATTATACAATGGCACCAGATTGCAAGTGAAAACATTGCATCGCAATGTAATCGAGGCAAACAAAATTGACAGATTGTTCTGGAGGAGAGTCTGTATTTATTCCTAGGATTCCTCTAACACCATCAAATTACACCTTCGAATTCAAGAGAGTGCACTTTCCTATCAAAATCTGCTTCGCCGTAACCATAAACAAAGCTGAAGGTCAAACTTTTAAGGTAGTGGGAGTAGACTTGAGAGAAAGCTGCTTCTTCCACAGTCGGATCGTAGCTAACGCCGCAAAGGTGCAAACTCCAATTTTCCAAAAAATTACAGGAGAGCAAGAAAACATTTATTATTCCCTGATTACTAGTTTTTTTCATCCGAAAGTTAATCTTATTTGTAGTTTTCTATTAAGTCTAACATATTTAATTTTCTGATGAAAAAAGTTAGTAGTAAACGTTTTCTTGCTCTCTTGTATTTTTTTTAAAAATTGAGGTTCGCCCCTTAGCGGCGTCAACGACAAGTTGTATGTGGCATGCTCCAGCACCTGAAGCAAAAACAAAAAATATTGTTTACAAAAAATACTACGGTAGGTGTAGTATTTCGATTTCGTTGTAAAAGGATTATACCCCCGTGTCACTTTCATGAGATCAAAGGCCGAGTTTCGTATTCATAAAATATAACAAAATTTTATTTTATTTTCAGATTTATTTAGATTTTAAATCTAAAACATTAAAATTTAAAACTACATTATAATAAAGATTGGTATATTTTATAAGTATTAAAACATTTTAACATAATAATTTATATGTTATAACACAATTAATAACATAAAAATTAATTCAAAATCCTATTAGAACCATTTTCTTCTACGCGGACGAAGTCGCCGGCAAAAGCTACTATCTTAAAAGATTAACTTAATTTTTGTCATAGAGCATCTAGCTGTGTTATAATTATAATTAAATAGGATATTTAACAGCTTGTATATAGTATACATATGTATATACAAGGTGCTACACCCTATTTCACGTACTCAGCGATAGAATTTTCCGAAATAATTTCGTAGCGGGTGTCTACGTTGAGAAAAGAGTATACCAGGGCGGCTGAAAAATTCGCAGCCTAGGGTACTTAACGATGAGTAATTAGCTTGATACTCATATCACTAATTGCAACACTCCGTAGTATTATAAAAGCAATCACTAATTAAGTTTGCACTCCCTTTCCCTAAAGGGGATCGCTTCCGATACGGCAGAAAGGCTCTCCAGGCCAAAGCCAGTCCCACAGGTGGTGTTTAGTGGGTAGGCACTTCATAGTGAGTCCCACATAACCACGCAGCCGGCTGCGTGGTATGCTACAGGCATGCACCACCTCCCTCCCCCGCTTCCCGGAGTGTAGCCCCTTGCTTTGGGCGCAAAAAAAGGTTTGCACTCATAGTTCAATTATTTATTGAACTACAAACATCACTGTCAGCCTAATCTGAAAATTCTCGGAATTTCGAACACCGCAGCATGATAAAATTCCTCGTAAAGAAGGGAATTACACCGAAAGACATTTTTAAAGAGATTTTTTTTTATAGGATAGGGTGACAAACGAGCACACAGTTCACCTGATGATAAGTGGTTGCTGTGGCCCATAGACATCTACATTTATCCTCTATTACAAATCAAAATGCAGATGCGTTGTCACCCGTGAGGACTAAGATGGAATGCCTCTTTTCCAATAAAAAGGGTCTCCGGTTCTCTACACTCACCATATGAAACACAGCAGCATGAAGCTGCTATTTGTCTCTGGTATTCTGTAAGAGCGTGGTCCTTCCCCGGTCGAGCCGAGTCATTCGTGCTACAACTATACTACTAATATAGCTGCAGCATGGCTCTACCACGTATGGTGTCATCGGACATGTCAAATTTCAAGTCCATCTGGCTTTGGATAGCCCCATAGCTTTGGAGTACTCGTTATGAGTGAGTCAGTTGCATTGCGCTCATAGAAAATTAAACATTGATCTCTTCCTATTTATTTTTTACCGACTTCAAAAAGGAGACGGTACTCGTTTCGACTGTATTTTTTTAATGTGTGTTATCACACCTCATAACCTCACCTCATAATCTGTTTACGAAATAATTTTAACTAAAAATGAGTGTTCGTAGAAGCCCGCCAAAAGGATCGGGATCATACCCTGATGTATCAAAGCTCAGCGAAGATGTTCATTTCATACAAAAGAAGAGAAAATTACCGGATTGCCAATGTGATTTTCAAGGGATGATGATTGATTTTCAAAATAAAATTACTACTTCTATAAATAATGTGCTTGAGAGGCATAATAACAACATAAAGTCTTCTTTGGATGCTCTTCGTGACGATTTAAGTGAGTTTAAACTGCAATTGCATGATATGAAGCTCACCACCGAGAAATTATCAGATGAACAAACTACCCTAAAAATGATATTTGCCTATTGAAATCTTCTATGGAGCAAAATAACCTTAAGTTTGAATCAATCTCAAAGGATATGCGTGCCTTACAATCCACCGTCAATAACCTATCAGAACAGCAACAAGCGAGGGAACAACAAGGAAGGGTCAATAATATAGAAATATCAGGATTACCTTTTACTAAGGGTGAAAATTTACTAACTGTTGTTCAAAACATTGCAACGAAGATTGGTTTTCCATTGGCGTCATCGGATATTGATTACATCCACCGTGTTCGACGTTTTAACACAAAAAGTAGCGATAATACAAATATTGCTGATGGCAGATCTCATAACCTATCCCAGATTCCTAATATAATCGTTAGGTTTACACAAAGAAAGCGGAAATCAGATATGCTTGCAGCTGTGCGTGCCCGACGTGGGTTGACAACAGTGGATGCTGGTGTGGACGGCCCGTCTAAGCCTATTTTTATTAGTGATCATTTATCGCCACATAATAAATTATTATATAAGCAAGTGCGTCTAATAGCTAAAGAAAAAAGTTATAAATATGTTTGGTTGTCTGATTGCAAGATATTTGTACGTAAAAATGACGAGTCCAAAGCATTACTGGTAACTAGTGAAGTTGACCTTACTAGAATTAAGTGACTATTTTTATTTTGTATATTTCATGTAAACCATTCAAATATTTCATGTAACTATTTATATATATCAAGTTTTACTTTTAATCTCATTAGAATAAGGTCTCTGTTAATTTGGTTTAAGATACGAAGTTTATATTACATATTTATATTCTTACATGTTGGTGGAACGATGTTAACTTTAATTTTTAAAATACGATAATACAAACTTTGTCATTTATTATCAAAATGTGAGGGGTTTACGCACTAAATCACATAACTTTCTTAATGCACTATTGTGCAACAATTACGATGCGATATGTTTAACCGAAACTTGGCTTAATGATAACTTTTATGACTCAGAATACTTTGACAATCGTTATCAGGTATACCGTTGTGATCGTAATGTTGCATTAAGTGGGCACGAGCGAGGTGGTGGTGTGTTGATTGCGGTTCGCCGTGAATTGTGTCCTCAGCACCGCGCAGACTTGCGCGCGCCGCCACCGGCAGAGGAGGTATGGGTGTCGGTGCCGCTGTACACGATTACCGCTCCTACTTCGTCCGGTCAGCTTAAGAACACACCTCGCTATTTACATTTAATATCTACATATATAGCACACGGCAATAATCATGAGCTATTCTTGACTTCTTTTTATGATAGGGTAGCCGAATTTATGATTTGTAGTTCTAATGATATTTTTCTTATTCTCGGTGACTTTAATGTGACTAATGCTTGTTGGCATTATAATATAACCACTAATACCATGGATATTCAAACAAACAATGATAGATTAGCTTGTCTCACTGCCGATTTTATGTATTTATCGTTGCTATTACAATTCAACTCTCAATTTAATGTAAATAACAGACTTCTAGATTTAATTTTTTGTAATAAAAACTGTTCAGTTTCTTCTAGCGTATACCCATTAGTGCCGCAAGATAACCATCATAAAGCTTTAAAAATAGATTTAAAATTATTTTCTTCTGCTTTGCTTAACTGTGCTTATATTAAGAAAAAGCTTTTCTACAAAGCCGATTTCGACGCAATCAATACTTCATTAAATTCGATTGACTGGGAGGCAACTTTTAGCACTATGAAGTCCGACGTAGAATTGATGACTACATACTTTTATGATGTGCTTGATGGACTTGTAGACAAACATGTACCGACGCAATATCTTACTAACAAAAATAAATTTCCTCCGTGGTTTAATAAACCTCTGATTAAACTATCAAAAGAAAAATATAAATATCATAAAAAATGGAAACGATATGGAAACCTGTGTGATTATGAAACCTTCTCTATTCTGAGACATCGTTTTAAGAAAATGGAGAAAAATTGTTACAAAAGATTTATTGAAATTGCTGAAGAGAAAATTAAAGAGCATCCAAAATATTTTTGGTCTTTTGTAAAATCTAAAAATTCCACAAATGACATTCCAGATAGAATGTTATACAAAGGAAAACTTTTGTCTAGTGGTAGTGAGATTTGCGACGCGTTCAATCAATATTTTCATTCCGTTTTTTTATTCAAAAATGATTCTCTTGTTAAAAATCATTCTATTAGCTCTTATCCCCTTTCAACTTTAGATATAAACTCTGTTAATATTGACTATTATATTGTTCATAAAGAATTAAAAAATGTCAACGTTCATAAGGGTGCAGGGTCTGACAACATTCATCCTATTTTAATCTCCAAATGTGCTAAAGAACTCGCAAAACCTGTAACCATAATTTTTCGAACTTCTATTGAAACCGGTGTTTATCCTAGTAAGTGGAAAAAAT